GCACGCCTCTCATGGATGCAGTAGATTGTTTCGCTTTTACTCTACGGCTCGTGTACCAGGGTGAACGCGTACTGCGGATAAGTTGTCGAAGCGAACAAGCAACGCTGCGAACGAGCCACACGCGACGCTGCGGTACATGCGGCCGCCATGGATGCGGCGCGTGGCGCTCGAGTGCGCCTAGCGCCGCCAGGCGGATCGCAGCGCGGCGAAGGCGGCGGCGCGAAGCCAAGCCGCGAAAGCGCGCGCGAGCGGGAGTCGCGCGAGCGGGAGGCGCGGCGGCAGCAGCTGCAGCGGTCGCTGGACGAGGCGCAGAAGCCGCTCGCCGCCGCCCTCGCCGTCGCCTGGAAAGGTGCCGCCTCCGCCCCGCTTCCCCTTCCCCTGGCCTCGCCCCGCCTCACCTCGCGCTTCCTCGCCCCGGCGGGGGTAGCGAGTAGTCAGAGGAAGGATGGCGAAGGGGAGTCGCGGGAATGCGTGGGGAGCGCGAGGCGTGGCCGCTTTGCTGCTTGACGCTGGCAGCCGCCTCTCTCTCTGCTCCCCCCTCTCGCCCCACCCCTCCGTCTCCCCTCTACCCACTCTCTTCAGTTGCTGGACCTCCTTGTGCAGCATCACACTCATCCCATCACGCGTCGCTTCTGAATGCATGACATGGCATGGTGTATGGGTGCATGCTGTAAGGCATGTTGCTCGATTGATGATGCATGGCATGACATGATGGCATGGTGCATGGTGCATGCCAGCAGGTTCTTTTCCGCCAACCTCCACGACTGCACGTCCTGCCACTAATGGCAGCTGTGCTGCTGCCACGTGGCAGGGAGCAGCCCCTTGGCAGGACACGTGGCAGTGGCAGTGGGCGTCCCAAGACCCTGCCTTGCACAATCAGCTGCTACGTGGCGTGCAGCGATTGCTCGACTTCGTGGCGGCCAATGAGATGCCTCTCTGGAGTGACGTGGCGTGCAGGCGGGCAGTGAGGGTGAGAGGGGCGGCAGTGAGGGTGAGAGGGGCGGCAGTGAGGGTGAGAGCTGGGCTGCTGGCATGCCGTTGATTGGCGGGTCATGAGCAGAGAGTGCTGGCGGAAAATGCTGGGGTGCCCCTGTTTGTCGTATCTACGTCTGGCTCACCATGCCCAACTGCGCCCTCCCCACCTCTCGTTCCCACATGCTCCCTTCCTCCCCTCCTCCCCATCCCCCACCCTTCCCGCCAATCCCCCCCTCTCCCCCCCCCGCCCCACCAGGCACACTATGAGGCATCGTGTGCGGCGCTGCTGCACCTGCTGGCGTTCAGCGCGCCACCAGCGCTGGCGTCGGTGCGGCAGGCAGCGGTGCGCGTGTGTGCGCGCATGGCCACTGTGGGGGGGCGGTGGTGGCGGGAGAGTGTCACGGGCGCCATGCTGCTCGGCCTCTCCGCCTATGTTGATGCCCCCGGTGAGGCCAGTGTCGGGAGGTTGGGCCGCCTGGCACACGGTGTGGGAGGTGTGGGAGGGGTGGGGGGTGTGGGAGGGGTGAGGGGTGTGGGTGTGTGGGGGGTGTGGGAGGTGTGGGGGTTGTGGGGGTGTGGTAGTGGTGGGGGTGTGGGGGATGTGGGGGTGTGCGAGTTGTGGGGGGTGTAGGGGTGTGGGAGGTGCCACGTGGATTAGAGCATGGGTGAGGCAATCCACGCGGCAAGGGTGTTGCGGGTGGGGTGATGGGTGGGTGGGTGGAGAGGTGGTGGTTGTGGTGCTGCGGTGCTGCAGGGCACACCTGGCTGCGCTCTGCTTGTGCTGTCATGCACCGTGCGTGTGCTCTGCTCTGCTGTGCGCACAGAAATGCATGTGCTGTGCTCCCTCGCTGCTCTGCTCTGCGTGCTGTCCCTTGCCGCCACTGCTGTGCTGTGTTTCAAGCACCCCGCCCCGCCGGCACAGCCCCTTGAAGCCCTCTCTCTCTGTTCCTTACTGCCCTGCCCCGTACGCCGCCCCGTGTGAAGCCCCCTGCTTCCCCACCGCCTGCTCACATCCTTCAACTCAACTCAACATGCCCTGCGCCCTCTCCTGCCCTCCTTGTCTGCGCCGCCCTACCCTGGGTGCCCCGTGTGTGTGCTGCGTGTGCCCTTTGCGCCTGCACCCACCTGCTCTCTCTGTCTGCACCAGGCGACCACGTGGTGCTGGACGCCTGCACTGCCCTCGCTGCCTCCCTCCTCGCCCTGCCTCCACACCCCCTCTCCCGCCCACTCCGCCACGCCCCCATTCCCGCCCTCCCCCTTCCCTCCTCGCACCCCCTCCCACTGTGCTCCCTTCTCCCCCCTCGTCCACCTCGCCCCTCGTCCCGCCGCTCGCCACCCTCACCGCCCCCTTGCTCGCCGCGCTGTGGCGCCTCCACCTGTCACGCTCCGCACCTGCTCTCCGCAGTCATGGCACGCAGGCCAGCACGGGTAGCACGGGTTGCATGGGCAGCAAAGGCAGCAAGGGCAGGGATGGTGGAGGGAAGAGTAGGGGAGGCGTGGTGGCGCGGGCTGCTGAGTGGCTGTGGGGGCAACAGGTGCGGGGGATGCGAGGGTTGTGGGAGGGGAAGCGGTGATGGGTGCGGGGGAAAGGGAAGGTGGCATGGGCGGGGAGAGATGCATGCTCACACCAGTGCTGCTTCGTGTGGTAAGGAGGCGTGTGGGGTCTGGCAGGAGCGGATGGAGGGTCAAGGGCGCAGAGCAGCGCGTGCAGTAGCGCACACACAGATATCACCAGCCAAGGCAGCAGCAACAGCAGCAGTAATGGCGACGAGCCTATTGCCCCGCAAACGAAGTTACTAACTTCGTTTGCGGGGCAATAGGCTCGTCGCCATTACTGCTGCTGTTGCTGCTGCCTTGGCTGGTGATATCTGTGTGTGCGCTACTGCACGCGCTGCTCTGCGCCCTTGACCCTCCATCCGCTCCTGCCAGACCCCCACACGCCTCCTTACCACACGAAGCAGCACTGGTGTGAGCATGCATCTCTCCCCCGCCCATGCCACCTTCCCTTTCCCCCGCACCCATCACCGCTTCCCCTCCCACAACCCTCGCATCCCCCGCACCTGTTGCCCCCCACAGCCACTCAGCAGCCCGCGCCACCACGCCTCCCCTACTCTTCCCTCCACCATCCCTGCCCTTGCTGCCTTTGCTGCCCATGCAACCCGTGCTACCCGTGCTGGCCTGCGTGCCATGACTGCGGAGAGCAGGTGCGGAGCGTGACAGGTGGAGGCGCCACAGCGCGGCGAGCAAGGGGGCGGTGAGGGTGGCGAGCGGCGGGACGAGGGGCGAGGTGGACGAGGGGGGAGAAGGGAGCACAGTGGGAGGGGGTGCGAGGAGGGAAGGGGGAGGGCGGGAATGGGGGCGTGGCGGAGTGGGCGGGAGAGGGGGTGTGGAGGCAGGCGAGGAGGGAGGCAGCGAGGGCAGTGCAGGCGTCCAGCACCACGTGGTCGCCTGGTGCAGACAGAGAGAGCAGGTGGGGTGCAGGCGCAAAGGGCACACGCAGCACACACACGGGCACCCAGGGTAGGGCGGCGCAGACAAGGAGGGCAGGAGAGGGCGCAGGCATGTTGAGTTGAGTTGAAGGATGTGAGCAGGCGGTGGGGAAGCAGGGGGCTTCACACGGGGCGGCGTACGGGGCAGGGCAGTAAGGAACAGAGAGAGAGGGCTTCAAGGGGCTGTGCCGGCGGGGCGGGGTGCTTGAAACACAGCACAGCAGTGGCGGCAAGGGACAGCACGCAGAGCAGAGCAGCGAGGGAGCACAGCACATGCATTTCTGTGCGCACAGCAGAGCAGAGCACACGCACGGTGCATGACAGCACAAGCAGAGCGCAGCCAGGTGTGCCCTGCAGCACCGCAGCACCACAACCACCACCTCTCCACCCACCCACCCATCACCCCACCCGCAACACCCTTGCCGCGTGGATTGCCTCACCCATGCTCTAATCCACGTGGCACCTCCCACACCCCTACACCCCCCACAACTCGCACACCCCCACATCCCCCACACCCCCACCACTACCACACCCCCACAACCCCCACACCTCCCACACCCCCCACACACCCCACACCCCTCACCCCTCCCACACCCCCCACCCCTCCCACACCTCCCACACCGTGTGCCAGGCGGCCCAACCTCCCGACACTGGCCTCACCGGGGGCATCAACATAGGCGGAGAGGCCGAGCAGCATGGCGCCCGTGACACTCTCCCGCCACCACCGCCCCCCACAGTGGCCATGCGCGCACACACGCGCACCGCTGCCTGCCGCACCGACGCCAGCGCTGGTGGCGCGCTGAACGCCAGCAGGTGCAGCAGCGCCGCACACGATGCCTCATAGTGTGCCTGGTGGGGCGGGGGGGGGAGGGGGGGATTGGCGGGAAGGGTGGGGGATGGGGAGGAGGGGAGGAAGGGAGCATGTGGGAACGAGAGGTGGGGAGGGCGCAGTTGGGCATGGTGAGCCAGACGTAGATACGACAAACAGGGGCACCCCAGCATTTTCCGCCAGCACTCTCTGCTCATGACCCGCCAATCAACGGCATGCCAGCAGCCCAGCTCTCACCCTCACTGCCGCCCCTCTCACCCTCACTGCCGCCCCTCTCACCCTCACTGCCCGCCTGCACGCCACGTCACTCCAGAGAGGCATCTCATTGGCCGCCACGAAGTCGAGCAATCGCTGCACGCCACGTAGCAGCTGATTGTGCAAGGCAGGGTCTTGGGACGCCCACTGCCACTGCCACGTGTCCTGCCAAGGGGCTGCTCCCTGCCACGTGGCAGCAGCACAGCTGCCATTAGTGGCAGGACGTGCAGTCGTGGAGGTTGGCGGAAAGAACCTGCTGGCATGCACCATGCACCATGCCATCATGTCATGCCATGCATCATCAATCGAGCAACATGCCTTACAGCATGCACCCATACACCATGCCATGTCATGCATTCAGAAGCGACGCGTGATGGGATGAGTGTGATGCTGCACAAGGAGGTCCAGCAACTGAAGAGAGTGGGTAGAGGGGAGACGGAGGGGTGGGGCGAGAGGGGGGAGCAGAGAGAGAGGCGGCTGCCAGCGTCAAGCAGCAAAGCGGCCACGCCTCGCGCTCCCCACGCATTCCCGCGACTCCCCTTCGCCATCCTTCCTCTGACTACTCGCTACCCCCGCCGGGCGAGGAAGCGCGAGGTGAGGCGGGGCGAGGCCAGGGGGAAGGGGAAGCGGGCGGAGGCGGCACCTTTCCAGGCGACGGCGAGGGCGGCGGCGAGCGGCTTCTGCGCCTCGTCCAGCGACCGCTGCAGCTGCTGCCGCCGCGCCTCCCGCTCGCGCGACTCCCGCTCGCGCGCGCTTTCGCGGCTTGGCTTCGCGCCGCCGCCTTCGCCGCGCTGCGATCCGCCTGGCGGCGCTAGGCGCACTCGAGCGCCACGCGCCGCATCCATGGCGGCCGCATGTACCGCAGCGTCGCGTGTGGCTCGTTCGCAGCGTTGCTTGTTCGCTTCGACAACTTATCCGCAGTACGCGTTCACCCTGGTACACGAGCCGTAGAGTAAAAGCGAAACAATCTACTGCATCCATGAGAGGCGTGCAATTTATGGT